AATCAGTAGCGGAAACCCCCAGTTAGAAGAATGATCCATAATGTATTGCAGATCAAACTCCCAACCAGAGGAAAACCCCTTAGGAACATCCAAAATAGAACAAGAAACCATCCGAACAACCAATAAAAAACTAATTCCAATAGACGAAAAAAGCAAGGGGTCTTTATCATCACGATGTATTCGCCAATCACCCATAAACAAATCTTTAAAATTCTCATCTGTTATAGTATTATACAACTCAGCAGCCCTGTCCGGGCACAGATGATATAGAAGATTGTTTAACTTATTGTAACCCAGCTCAGGGACTGTTGAGCATCGCAAAGCAGCCTATAAACACCATATCCATCATCATAAAAGTGATAAATGGCACGATTATTGTAGTAAGGTGATAGACCACGCTGTAGTCTTCTCACATAGTGACGAGTTAGAACATTCATAATCAAATCAAAACTTTAGTAACAGTACGCCAACAAGTAGGAAGAGAACGCTCATAATCAGAGCAAGCAAACGCAATGAGGAGCAAGAACCAAAGTCTTATAGACTGAATTACCAGCACGATCTAAATGATCAATCAAAAGGACATGGGGATCAGCCCAAAAGGGATAATGAGCACCAGAACGAGGATCATTCAAATAGGATTCCAAATACGGAATAGAAGGAGGATAATAACAAGGACGCATAGCATTCTCAAATTCATGAATACTAGCAAGATGAGCAGATAAATTAAACATATATCATCAAAAATTAGTTAAACAATGCACAAAAGTACAACAATTTTCGAAACACGCAAATAAAAATGTCTAATCACGATTAAGTTTAGCGTAATTCACAGATATACAATTATGGTAATAAATACGAGAAAGTCGCACGCGCATACACGCAAGAACCGACCACCCCTATAGCCCCCTCCATCGCCTGGAGGGGGCTAATAATATACAAAGGGAAATAATAAATAAAATATAATAAATAATATAATAGAACCAGGGGAGAGGGTAAGGCATCCGGCAACTAACGTATATAGCCGGAAACCTTACCCTCTCCCCTGACCCCTCTCCCTGTGGGGATTCCGCGCACATCCGTACGCTCACCCTACATAATAAGGTACGCATAAATGCGCTATAAAATAGAAACTCGCTCGCAATAAAGATAAACAAAGCTCGCTCGTTCATGAATAAGCGCAAGAGCGCAAGGACACGATGCAAGGGGTTAATATATACCCAGCGAGGGCGCTGCATCGCCCACCAAGTGGGCTGACATAAAAACATCTTTTGTCAGTGTGACTTATTATAATCAAGGGGAAGCACCGCTTTTAGGTAAAAAGCGGTCAACAAAAACAATAGCCATGCAATAATGCACAGCTATTGAAGATAATTTTAAGGCATAGTAAGCGCAATTTGCGCCACAAGGCGCCAAATTGTAAGATTAGAGGAACGGAGCGCACGCAAATACGCGAGCAAGCTCGCATCGCGCTCCTATTAATCAAAGATCCAATGGCGCAATCTATCCAAAATAGACTTAGAAGCAGAAGGCAGAGAGATACCAGTGGCAGCCATAGAGTAAGAGATCACAGCGCCAACATCAGTACGAGTGATACCCATTGCATCAAGCAGCTCACCAATGGCAACAAATTGAGCATTAGCTGGATCATTGAGCCATTCAGCCTGAGCGGTATATTCTTTTCCAAGATAGTGCCGAGAATCTGAGCATCTCGTTTCATCCTGAAGCATGTGAGCGAGCCATTTCTGGCGATACTCAGATTCAGGAATTTTTGCTTGTTAAGCTCATACTCAGCAGCCTGAGCGTCAAACATAGCCATTGACATCTTGATCTTGCTTTCCTGAACCTTAACAGCATAGTCCGTTTCTAACTGCATCTGCATAAGTTTCTGGCTATCCTGTCCAAGCTGTAAATCTTCACGCAAAGCCTTAACACGAGCAACCTGATTAGACAAATCAACCGAAGTAAGAGCATACTGATCACGAGAGAACTGGAAAGACTGAGCAAAGAACGAATCAATATACTTACTCGAGCATAGGCGAGTTCATCACACGCTTATACTCATCAGATTCAATAATACTTTTAAGAGATTCAGGCAACTGTCCAGACTTAGCCAATTCATTAAGACCAAAGACAGAACGATACTCAGGAGCAATTTCATCCAGGTGAGCAGTCAACTTAGAGACAACAGGATTAGCAGTAAAAGCACCAATAGCACCACCAGAAGGAGAATCCAAGCCATCAAAGTAAGACTGAGCAATAGCCTGAGTAGTGCCTATAGCTTGTTGCGCAGCACTCAAACCGAGATTAGTAGTACTAATCAAATTCTGTTGATCAGCAGCAGCAGCAGCACCCATAGCAGCAGCAGTAGGAGCTTGTAAAGTAGCCGGAGTATAAGCACCAGGATTAGCGGCACCAGCAACAATTTGACGGGCCTGTTGCTCACTAAATCCAGCTTTCATAAATTGCTCTATCTGAGCAGAAGCAGTAGAACGCTGATAAGCCTTCTCAGCTTCAGCACGATTTGCTCGTTAATATCCTTTTGCAACTGGATATTAGCAGCAGTCTCCAAGAACGAAGCAGCTTCAGAATCACCAGCAGAGCCAAAGTTTGCAAGAAAACCATTATAGTACTCATCAAACAGGACTGCAAGAAAGGGTCACCATTATCTGGGCGCTGAGGATGTTTATTAAAAGCACTCATAAAATAAAAAAGTTTAAAAGGGGGGCACAGGATCTGCACCCCCTAAAAAAGTTACACAGTTTCAACAGCAGCAGGGAAGCGGGCAGTTAACAGCAAAGTTAAATTCCAACTTACCGTAAGCAATAGGGTCGAACTCATGAACCGTACCAAGGAACGCATCCAGCGGAACATGAACGTGTAAACCGTACGCATCGATGGTGAACGGAGAAACAACATCCTGGGGCTCGTAGGCAGAGATAAGATCCTTCACACGGTTGTAACCATACGTAGAATACCAATCACGCAACCAGAGGTAGGAACGGTACTCACGCAGATACTTACCATGTACCGAATCCAATTGACAGCGATACTGGTAATAGCGAGGAACATAGCCGATCAGACTACCATTTCCGAGGTTACGAATAACATCGGAATTGTTGATCTGAACGCGAGTATCATCCGCAAACTCAGGGAAGGGAAGATCAGCACGCGAATTCTCAACAAGGTGAGGATCGAGAGAATCGTAATCCGGGATAGGGATGATACTTGCAAAGGTAACCAAATAGATGAAATCACCCTGACTAGCGAAACTGGATAGTTTCAGTAGCAGAAGATCCACCAGTCATTACACGCGTACCAGCTTCCATTTCAGAGGTCGAAACGTTCGAAATCTGTTGCTCACCAGTCAAGAACGATTCAGATCCAGAAATGTAGCGAGAAGTACAACCGAGCAAATCACTCGCATCGATATTATACCGAGCGCGCATCTGACCTTCGTAAGTATCCGGGAAATAGTAGTTACGAGCCAGGTAACGCTCAAGCATTCCGGCACGCTTCATGGTTTGAAGGTCTGCCAGGTAGTTAACCTCAGTTACACCATTAGCAGAAGAGCGACGGAAAAGACCTTGCGGGAACACCTTAGAGATTCCCTGAACCATCACCTGATAAATAGAATCGTAATCAGTCACATCAGCAGCGTCACCAGTAGAGCTGAAAGAGTTTTGAGCAGTACCACCAGCATCGGGCATGATGGGAGCGAACACGTGACGGAAAACATCATCAGTCTGTATGGTAGTAAACGGATCAGAGCCAAAGCAGCGATAGTGAGGAACGAAAAGCATGAAGAACACATCAGCGGTCAAATGATCGTTAACAAGAGGAACTTTACCCCAATCATCAGGATCAAGCAGATTCTTACGTTCTTCTACATGCCAGTTGCGAAGCGCATCGTACCAAGCGGCATAAGCAGCACGCAAAGGCATTTCATTCACCAAAGTAGAATTAGAGAACACAAAATCATTCTGAATATAATCAAAAAGATTAAAGAACTGATCACCTTCCAATTCAGCAAGGCGATCCGAAAGATCAAGAGGATCGATAATAGCAGTAGTATCACCAGAAAACAAGGTACGAAGAATAACAAAATTAGGAGCGTAATAGGTAGAACACGGATAAGAGAGCTCATCCAAAATACTACCTTCACCAAGGAAAGGCTGACCAATAAAATGAATCCAGTCAACAATAGTATTCCAGGGAGCAGAACGATAAGTAGTCAAATCAGTAAAATAAACCGAAGACATAAGGCGATTCACCTCAGACATGAGAAGATCACCCAAATAACCATACTGTCCACCAAGAGCAAGATTACGGTAAATATCGACTATATCAGTAGTAGCAGTACAAAGATCAATAAACCGGGAAAAGATCGATCACGATAAGAAACAAGGAAGCGGAAAGGATTACCAGAACCGTCAAAGATACCCCAGAAATTCAAGAAAGGAGAGTGAGACAAAAACGAAGGAATATTCTGAACCTCATAATTATCCTCTATCAACTTACGCCAATCCCGGTTAATACGACGAGCAGACACAGCAACAGTGTGCGTGTCAAAACGCAAAGGGCCAACCTGAGGGGTAACAACCTGTTCAAGGGTGTACTCAGGCTTAATAGTGCCAGACAAAACGCTATCCGGCATAAGGGTTTGAACATTCACAGGAACAAAACGACCAATCGGGAGAGAATGATGGTGCTTGTGATACAAGTCAAACGTAGATTTACGAGGACTGGTGATGTTCAGCATAGAATCGTTCACATTGGAACGCGAGAAATCGATTTTCATACACTAAATCACTTAATAGGGTTAATAGTACCGTTAGCATCTACTTTCGTATCAGCAGAAACGGGGTTAGCTGTAGTAATAGTAATGGTAGTACTGGCAGCATCACGAGCAGACATGATAGTAGCTTTAGTAGTAGCTGCAAGACTGCATCAACAAAACTCCCGCGATCGTGAGAATCGCAGTACAGATCGCCTGAACGATCTTGTAAATAATTTCTTTAGACATACTAAGAATAATTTTGGTTAAACTTATCTGTACCGTTCTCCTTAAGATAGGAACGAAGACGGGCGCCACGACTTTGTTCACGTACCAGAAGGTCCGAACGATGTAGAGGATCAGAAAAACGAGTAGCACGCAAGAATGCAATATCATTCAGCGTGAACTTATTAAAATCCCTGTCAGTCATCGGGCGAGACTGATCGGGGGTAATAATGCCAGTTTTCACAGAACCAGCACAAACAGGAACACCACAGCAAACAGAGCCAGAAGGTGCAACACAAGCGCCAAAACGCAACATTTTAGCTTCTTCACGAGTCATAGTTATTCAATATAATAATGGTTAATATGGTAACGATCTTGATTACGTTTCGAAACAGATTCATATTGATCACGCAAAATGACAGTATCAGGGTGATTCTCGACAGCATCAAACAACTCTAATTGCTTATGGAGATTCTCATTGATCACCTGAACACGGTCAAACTCTTATCAATACACTCTATCACGAAATCACAAAAATCTTCAATAGAGAACTCACATATCTTGTAATACGTTCTTTCAGAACGAGAGTAAGAGAAAAAATCAAAACGATTAAAAGCGGGATTGAGAACACCACGCATAACACCAGTTCCAGAACGAAGCACAACATAGTCCAGATCAGGGTTAGCACCCATAGGGAAAGCAATGTTTTCGCGTTTGAACGAATTATCTGTACGAAGGTAAGCGGGGGATAAAGCAGCAGGATTGAGAGCCAACTCCCGGAAATATCTTTTAACAGCAATATAATCACTTTTAACAAATGAAATACCTGAGAAAGACGCTTTTTCGAAGTAAATAGGGCATCTTTTGAGCGACAACAAGTGCGAAAAGTAGCGGGGGAACACAAAATCTTTACCTCGAAATTTAGGGAGCGAGAAATCTCCTTTATCAAAGCGAGAGAGGTTTGCAAGAGCATACTCTTTTCCAATACCATACCTGAGAGAAGAAGAGAAACACGGTTTAACCAGTTTCTTAAATTGTGTGAAAGTGACATGATGATAAACACGATTATTAAAATTAAACAATTTTAAGTTAAGACTATCAAGAGAAGATTCATCCAGCGCTGGATCATCAGCAGCAAGAATACGCGGAGAGTTATCAACCGGAAGACTATTAAAGGCACGAGAGAACCGAGCAAGGGCAGACAGAGGAACATCATCCGGGGACTTTTTCAAATACTTTGCCACATAGGTAAAAGCATAGCGAGCATCCTGATTCTGTCCATGCACACGAACACACTCATTAAAAGTACCATTAGCACCAAGATCAGAAACATCAACGTTACCGATCTTAAAAAAGAAAGTATCTTTATCGGGTTTATTAGAACGATAGGACAAAACAACATCCGGGGAAGCCTGTTTACACAGATACCCCCAAGCAAGCTGGAAGAAATCAGCCGGGATAGGATTATAAGACCAAATAATAGTGTGCCAATGGCATCTACCATGAACATGGCCATACTCGCCAGTATAAACATAGCTAAGAGTATTCTCAGGATCAAGAGCACGAAGGCGCTTGAAATACTTTTGTATGTGAGTAACACACAAGATAGAAGGACACCAGGCATAGCGCCCAGTAGAATTGTCACGATCAGGGGCGGGATAAGTAGCGAGCCAGTCGCTCAGGAACGGATGTTTAACATACTGGTTAAGATCATACGAGCCATAGGTTAGGGTAACAAAATAGCAGTAGCGCCATTTTGATGAGTGAGTAGGGGAATCCCAAGAGTGGAGGAACATACGAGTAACCCACTCCTCACGGGCTTGATTCTGGCAGTTAACACAGTGACCACAATCCGACACCATATTTTTCGCAATACCAAAGCTATCTTTAACCGTAATAACATGCGGATAAAGGCAACCATGCGTAGCAAAATCGGAAGGATCAGCACCGTTAACGCAGACTTTGTAATATGTACTTAATGGTAAGGGCATGAAATGCAACGTATATCTCAGGACTAACTATACCCCTGTTACCGGGGAACGGAAGCCAATTAGAAGGTTCAACAAAATTAGTGATACGAATAAAACGGTTAGGAATCAGTAGCGGAAACCCCCAGTTAGAAGAATGATCCATAATGTATTGCAGATCAAACTCCCAACCAGAGGAAAACCCCTTAGGAACATCCAAAATAGAACAAGAAACCATCCGAACAACCAATAAAAAACTAATTCCAATAGACGAAAAAAAGCAAGGGGTCTTTATCATCACGATGTATTCGCCAATCACCCATAAACAAATCTTTAAAATTCTCATCTGTTATAGTATTATACAACTCAGCAGCCCTGTCCGGGCACAGATGATATAGAAGATTGTTTAACTTATTGTAACCCAGCTCAGGGACTGTTGAGGCATCGCAAAGCAGCCTATAAACACCATATCCATCATCATAAAAGTGATAAATGGCACGATTATTGTAGTAAGGTGATAGACCACGCTGTAGTCTTCTCACATAGTGACGAGTTAGAACATTCATAATCAAATCAAAACTTTAGTAACAGTACGCCAACAAGTAGGAAGAGAACGCTCATAATCAGAGCAAGCAACGCAATGAGGAGCAAGAACCAAAGTCTTATAGACTGAATTACCAGCACGATCTAAATGATCAATCAAAAGGACATGGGGATCAGCCCAAAAGGGATAATGAGCACCAGAACGAGGATCATTCAAATAGGATTCCAAATACGGAATAGAAGGAGGATAATAACAAGGACGCATAGCATTCTCAAATTCATGAATACTAGCAAGATGAGCAGATAAATTAAACATATATCATCAAAAATTAGTTAAACAATGCACAAAAGTACAACAATTTTCGAAAACACGCAAATAAAAATGTCTAATCACGATTAAGTTTAGCGTAATTCACAGATATACAATTATGGTAATAAATACGAGAAAGTCGCACGCGCATACACGCAAGAACCGACCACCCCTATAGCCCCCTCCATCGCCTGGAGGGGGCTAATAATATACAAAGGGAAATAATAAATAAAATATAATAAATAATATAATAGAACCAGGGGAGAGGGTAAGGCATCCGGCAACTAACGTATATAGCCGGAAACCTTACCCTCTCCCCTGACCCCTCTCCCTGTGGGGATTCGCGCACATCCGTACGCTCACCCTACATAATAAGGTACGCATAAATGCGCTATAAAATAGAACTCGCTCGCAATAAAGATAAACAAAGCTCGCTCGTTCATGAATAAGCGCAAGAGCGCAAGGACACGATGCAAGGGGTTAATATATACCCAGCGAGGGCGCTGCATCGCCCACCAAGTGGGCTGACATAAAAACATCTTTTGTCAGTGTGACTTATTATAATCAAGGGGAAGCACCGCTTTTAGGTAAAAGCGGTCAACAAAAACAATAGCCATGCAATAATGCACAGCTATTGAAGATAATTTTAAGGCATAGTAAGCGCAATTTGCGCCACAGGCGCCAAATTGTAAGATTAGAGGAACGGAGCGCACGCAAATACGCGAGCAAGCTCGCATCGCGCTCCTATTAATCAAAGATCCAATGGCGCAATCTATCCAAAATAGACTTAGAAGCAGAAGGCAGAGAGATACCAGTGGCAGCCATAGAGTAAGAGATCACAGCGCCAACATCAGTACGAGTGATACCCATTGCATCAAGCAGCTCACCAATGGCAACAAATTGAGCATTAGCTGGATCATTGAGCCATTCAGCCTGAGCGGTATATTTCTTTTCCAAGATAGTGCCGAGAATCTGAGCATTCGTTTCATCCTGAAGCATGTGAGCGAGCCATTTCTGGCGATACTCAGGATTCAGGAATTTTTGCTTGTTAAGCTCATACTCAGCAGCCTGAGCGTCAAACATAGCCATTGACATCTTGATCTTGCTTTCCTGAACCTTAACAGCATAGTCCGTTTCTAACTGCATCTGCATAAGTTTCTGGCTATCCTGTCCAAGCTGTAAATCTTCACGCAAAGCCTTAACACGAGCAACCTGATTAGACAAATCAACCGAAGTAAGAGCATACTGATCACGAGAGAACTGGAAAGACTGAGCAAAGAACGAATCAATATACTTACGAGCATAAGGCGAGTTCATCACACGCTTATACTCATCAGATTCAATAATACTTTTAAGAGATTCAGGCAACTGTCCAGACTTAGCCAATTCATTAAGACCAAAGACAGAACGATACTCAGGAGCAATTTCATCCAGGTGAGCAGTCAACTTAGAGACAACAGGATTAGCAGTAAAAGCACCAATAGCACCACCAGAAGGAGAATCCAAGCCATCAAAGTAAGACTGAGCAATAGCCTGAGTAGTGCCTATAGCTTGTTGCGCAGCACTCAAACCGAGATTAGTAGTACTAATCAAATTCTGTTGATCAGCAGCAGCAGCAGCACCCATAGCAGCAGCAGTAGGAGCTTGTAAAGTAGCCGGAGTATAAGCACCAGGATTAGCGGCACCAGCAACAATTTGACGGGCCTGTTGCTCACTAAATCCAGCTTTCATAAATTGCTCTATCTGAGCAGAAGCAGTAGAACGCTGATAAGCCTTCTCAGCTTCAGCACGATTTTGCTCGTTAATATCCTTTTGCAACTGGATATTAGCAGCAGTCTCCAAGAACGAAGCAGCTTCAGAATCACCAGCAGAGCCAAAGGTTTGCAAGAAACCATTATAGTACTCATAAACAGACTGCAAGAAAGGGTCACCATTATCTGGGCGCTGAGGATGTTTATTAAAAGCACTCATAAAATAAAAAGTTTAAAAGGGGGGCACAGGATCTGCACCCCCTAAAAAGTTACACAGTTTCAACAGCAGCGGGAAGCGGGCAGTTAACAGCAAAGTTAAATTCCAACTTACCGTAAGCAATAGGGTCGAACTCATGAACCGTACCAAGGAACGCATCCAGCGGAACATGAACGTGTAAACCGTACGCATCGATGGTGAACGGAGAAACAACATCCTGGGGCTCGTAGGCAGAGATAAGATCCTTCACACGGTTGTAACCATACGTAGAATACCAATCACGCAACCAGAGGTAGGAACGGTACTCACGCAGATACTTACCATGTACCGAATCCAATTGACAGCGATACTGGTAATAGCGAGGAACATAGCCGATCAGACTACCATTTCCGAGGTTACGAATAACATCGGAATTGTTGATCTGAACGCGAGTATCATCCGCAAACTCAGGGAAGGGAAGATCAGCACGCGAATTCTCAACAAGGTGAGGATCGAGAGAATCGTAATCCGGGATAGGGATGATACTTGCAAAGGTAACCAAATAGATGA